ACTTTAATGTTGTGTACTAATATCAATAGTAGACCAACTTTAATGTTGTGTACTAATATCAATAGTAGACCAACTTTAATGTTGTGTACTAATATCAATAGTAGACCAACTTTAATGTTGTGTACTGATATCAATAGTAGACCAACTTTAATGTTGTATACTAATAGTAACAGTAGGCCAACTTTAATGTTGTGTACTAATAGCAATAGTAGACTAACGTTAATGTTGTATACTAATATCAATAGTAGACCAACTTTAATGTTGTGTACTAATAGTAACAGTAGACCAACTTTAATGTTGTGTACTAATAGTAACAGTAGACCAACTTTAATGTTGTATACTAATAGCAATAGTGGACCAACTTTAATGTTGTGTACTAATAGTAACAGTAGACCAACTTTAATGTTGTGTACTAATAGCAATAATAGACCAACTTTACTGTTGTATACTAATAGTAACAGTAGACCAACTTTAATGTTGTGTACTAATAGCAATAGTAGACCAACTTTACTGTTGTATACTAATAGCAATAGTAGACTAACGTTAATGTTGTATACTAATATCAATAGTAGACCAACTTTAATGTTGTGTACTAATAGTAATAGTAGACTAACTTTAATGTTGTGTACTGATATCAATAGTAGACCAATTTTATATTTCTAAATCTATTTTTTTTATCAAACTGTGTTTAAGCACATTTTAGTAATTTAGAAACAATATTTGTGTAACTTTACCATATGCTATTATTGTTAAGTATTTTTTAAAATGAAATACTTTGTTGAAAAGAATTTAATGAAATTTAGAAGAAGAATTAGATTTAATTAGAAATTTTCAGTCACATTCTAGGTTAACATCTCATGTATTAAGTTAACTGCCTAGTGAGCTGGAGGAAATTATGTGAAGGCATAAGTTGTTTTATTAAAAACTAATTTGGTATTAATGGACTATTCGAGCATTTCTGTTTCTATACTGAAGCCTTCTTCAGCCTTTTTTTGTAGTATACATTATCTATGCGGAATTTAATATTGCCAGTGAAAGGAGTTTGAGAATTAGTATTAATTTTATTTTTTATATTACTAATGACTTATTTTGATGAATGTATTATTATTATAAACTGGTATGGTAGTACTTCAAAGAAAATTGCACATGATTTTCTCATAGGTAATAGAGGTGAAAATTTCATTAATTTTGTTTAGATGAATGCTGGGTAGCACTGACAAGCAACACGACGGTGTTCAGTAAATCCTACTTAAATTTTCTTGATGATTTGTTGAAGTTACATACACTTACTTCAAACAAACTGATTGTAGATTCCTTAGTGGTCACTTTCAGGGCACAACTACGGCATGTGGAAGCTTCACTTAATAGTGAAATTTTTAAATCTGACGTAAGTAACTTGTTTTCTACTTTATTGTTTAGTTGTTACTGTGTTTTATTGCCAAATGTTACTGTAATTCACATTTTTTTAGCAGACATTGTTCACTAAATTGGTATGGCTAAATAGTAAAACATCCTGTAAATTGTAAAAACAATTAGAGTATAGTTACTAGTATCTGCTACCAACTGAATTTATTTCAAGGATGTTGTTTTTGCATAGCACAGTCCAAAAGTACAAGAACTATAAAAAATCAAACTCCTTCTCATCAATGCTCAAAGTTATTTTGCAAAATCAGAAAATCACATTTTAGTTGTTTGTCACTGAGAGTTGGTTCTACATAATTTATACTTGTTAACTGTGTTGTTGAAACATTGAAGATTCATATCAGTCATAACCATTATTGGTTCATAGTTGTCCAGGCTATTACTGTGTAAGTGAGGTGAAAATAGTGAAAATATTTATTTTAAAAGGTTACTAAAAGTTCTTTGAAAAACTGGTTTAAATACATTTCAGTTATTCTAGATTTGACTACAAGCTAATAACTGAAACATTCTGTCACTTCACACCAACTTGTATCTTACTTCATGAACTTTTGGCCTTGAACAATCAGGAAGATTTTGATATCCTTTTCTTTGCAGTAACTAATGTCCACCTGTACCAATGGGCTCCTATTAGCCTTTTAAGCATATTTTTCTAATTGTCTCTAATAAATCACATAAAAGTGTAAACAAAAAATACTGTCAGTGTTATACTTAATACCATTACTTATTGCTACCATTTCTTATATGTATTTTACATTGAGAATGAATAATTTCACCCACTTCTTTTGGTCAGTTCTTGCCAATGAGTGTTTTAAAGAGCAAAAACATTATTATATCATTATGGAATCTCCAGTATTTGAACAGCATAGAAAACAAATGTGTAATTTGAGAGTTGAAACATCTACTTGTATTAACCTTGCATCCTGTAACAGATATTCTGTCAAGTAATATTGATGCTACGAGGTGTTTTATTTGCATATTTCGTGTTACAAACTTCAAAACTTCAGTCATGTTACTGATGTTTAAATGGAACATTTGATTACTGTTTTAGTATTTTCAGCAATCCACCATTTTACTTTTGACCCCTTGTCACTCCTGTCTCTGTCTTATCTGTTTTTTTGTTTTTTTCACTAAACAGACAGGCTTACTGCAATAAAATATTACATTATCTTGCCACTAGTTATTTTTTTCAAAATACAAGTTATATTTAAATGCTCAAATGTTTTGCCTTTCTTCGAAGTAAAACACATAATATATGCATCACTGTTATCTTTCCCATCTTAGGAATGAGCTGACTTGTGAACATGTCATCTTGCACTTAAATTTTCATTTCATTGTAATTCTACCCTTGTTGAATTGAAGCATATTTCTTCTTTTGAACTGTTCAGTGTGTTTCATGAAGGTCCACCCCTTTTTACCTTTTGTCACACATCCTTTTCCTGACCATGCCAAGCTGATGAATTCTTTGTTGGAGAGAATTTATCTCCCCCACTGTTTTCTAGGGCTCAAAAATGTTTTGGGAATTTGTTTGCCAACTGACAAGCTGAAGTTAATTTTTTGTATGAAATTTTTTCAACACGAGTTTAATATAAATGTTGTTCAAAGTATATAATTTTGAAGTCATACTATAACCAATTCCATTTGTCTACATTGTATTAAGAATGTTTTACACACATTATACACTAAAGACTCTACCAACTGAATTATTTTATCATAGCTTTTGCTATTATGATTCTCATCCATTCATAACTACTAATATACACACACACACACAACATAATGTAAAAAAAATTATGATTTACTCTAGCTTTGTTAGACAGAAATATCTTTACAGTTCTATTTGATTTAAATTTAAAGGTGAGTTTACTTAAGAAATTTCTACAATGCTTCTCAGAAAAGTGAAAAATCCCCCTTTTGCACAATATAAAAAATAGCACACTTGAAACATGGATTAACTGTGTAATAAACAGAGAGCTGTAGTATGATGTGCTATATTAAATGTTATTCATACTACTTCTGTCCCACTATGCTGTGCACAACTCTTTCCACACTCATCTACTTCCTTTTACAATATCACCTTTCTTTCACTCCTAACCTGTTAAGTATTTGAACATGTTCAGTAGCATCTGTATGTGTTCCTAAAGCTCAGTTTGAAGTAAATGGACTCTGTCAGAGAGAGAAGGGTAACTACTTAGTTGTAAGTATTCATTTAAAAACATGTTAGTTCTCATCATCAGATAACAATTACAAAAAATGAACTAAAGAAAGAAGTTCAGCCATAAATTTTGAATGTTTGGGCATAGTTTAACATTCTGTAGTTTATTAAAGATATAAAGCAATAGCAAAAACATGTCATGATGCTAACTTTTTAGTTGGAAGATTTCCAAAACAAAGGTTTAAGAGTTTGTAAACTTGGTCAATTACAAAGTTCCAGAATTCAGAAATATCTAATTTTCCACAAGGACAAATACTCATTGTAGCCTATTTATAAATAAGTTATTTATCTTAAATTACTAGAACTTCTTTGAAAACCACTGTGTAACAAAACTCAAAAATGTACACTTTGCAATGTCCAAGTACAATGCAAGCATGGTCACCATCAGTTAATTAACACAGGAGTGTTGAATTGTGCAAGTATACACCTACATGTGTTTAAGTAGCTTTACTGAACTTGTTGTAAACCAAACATGGCAAAATACTTTTGCACTCCTCACTCCATCATCTAATAAAAATCAGGTTAACATATGTCATTCTTTGTATGTGTAGCTGAAATGCAAACTGCAAGTATACTTAGTCAAATTGATTCTGCAAAATTTCATGCTTTTAAATGAAATTCAAAATAGTGAATGTTTTATTTGAAATTTTGACCACTGCTGACTTGCACTGTAACTATTTTATTAATTTCAAATAATTTATTTGTTTGAATGCAAAGCTAAACAATGGGTTTTACCTATTGTGGGAATCAAAAACTATATTTTAAGCCTACTGCTGATCTACAAGGGAGAGCCAAAATGTAACATGATTATTAAATTCTTGCCACCTGGTTTCTGCTGTATCATTTTTCATTAGTAACTGTATTATATTTTTATTTCACTGGTGTCTAAACAATTTTGTACCACATACAGAGTTTGTCGCTAACTGCTATTTTTCAAAATGCTATCTAAAACATCCGTAGATCGACAAGTTATCATGTATGTATTTCTGCTTCATTTTCATCAAATTTGAATTCCCTTATTATTTATGATGTCTTGGAGTTCAGCTGCCTTGCTGGGGAGAAGAGAGTTCCTTTACTGATGTTACCAGTGGCTTTCTAGTTATATACTGTTGTAGCTAAAATCATTAGGAAATCAACTTAACGTTTTTTGGCTTATTGTCATCATTACAAATTTTGTTCCTAATCTGTGTCATTATTGTTATTTTTTAGGTAAAGTTTATTCAGAAGAATGCTAATTTTTTGCTTGAAACACTGTTGACCTTAGCAGAACATCGTTTTGAAGAGAAACTTGGATTTGGTTCCCCTCAACTTTCAGAACTTCATATTGAACTTCCTCGACTAATTAGTGGGACTTCTGAGAGCAGTGCATCAGGGAAGTCTTCTGTAACCAAATATTCATCTGTAGCATATTTGTAACTTCATTCTCTGTTTTTGTTAAACTGTTATTGTATAAATACCATGTTATATTTACTAGAACAAAAAACACTTCTGATAAAGTCCAGAAGTCATCATATTATATTGTCGGAATTTATACGTGAAGTTGTTTTCATTTATTTAATATAACATCTATATCTATCAGTCTAATTTCAATTTTTGTAAATATTTAAAGCTAAATTATCAAACACCTACTAATACTGAGCAGTGCAAGTATGTAAGGGTTACTTTTTTTATCTTAAGGAAGAAGCATGAATTATTGAAAATATAAGATCAGAGTTGTTCTGTATCTATTCTCATGACAAAATGCCATAATATGATGATGTGGTAGTAGAATGTTGGTTTAACCAATCGGCTAGATGTTCACATAGGACAAAACGTAATTTTTAACATTAATATCATCAATATGAACAGCAGAACAAATTCAAAAATGCATTCAATAAATAACTGGTTTGAAAATATTTAAGATACTTAAATTTATTCCTACCCCATATGCCTTTAGTTATTTGAGAAATGCCAAGATGTGGTAAACTTTAAAAGGTACAGAATGTTTACAATATAGTGGTGGATGGGAAGTTGAAACTGATTTAGACTTGATAATTTTAATTTTTTTCATCACTTTAGATATATTTGCTTAGAGTAGTTATAAGTTCTTTCAAAATATTATGCAATCGTTGAAGTTGTTGCTAATAAATGAATTGCAGAAAATAGTTGTTTAATTTTAGGCTGAACAACAAAAGGTTAAGAAATAACAGATGGAATTAACTTGCAGTAGATTATAGTTTAAGATACGGCTAGATCGAGGCCTGCGAGATTACTAACAGGCCTACGTGTATCAGATTTCTGACATCACAGCCGTAATACAACTAAAAAGTGCATTGACTATTTGTTTACCAGTATTTAAACAGATTTTTTTAATATTTAAAGTTAGAGATTGTTATATGTGGATGCCAGCTTCTTTTAATAGTAATTGACGTAGTTTTAAAGATAAAAAGTTAGTGTATTTTTCTCTCTGTTACCATGTACACAATAATAAAAATATTATGAATAAAATCAGGAACAAGTGGAATCTACTTAGTTGTGCTAATATGTAAGGTGTGAAAAGTATAGCAAACTTTAGTGTGATTTACACTTTCACTCTTTGATGTATATCTTCCAGATAGAAAATGTTATTAAGTATATTAAGACACATGGAAATCCATGATTTTTTAATGTAGCTAAACCTTAGGCATTTGAAGCAATGATAACATTTTTTCTTTTGTATTTTCTATATAATTGTCCTTAACCTTACAGTAGTTTTTTTAACAGAATCTTTGCCATCATTTTGACTTTTTTTTTCTTTCTACTAGTTTCTGAGGAATCACACCACGATGATAATTAATATTATCAACAGATTCCTCCTTTTCCACCTAGTTTCTGAGGAATCACACCACGATGATAATTAATATTATCAACAGATTCCTCCTTTTCCACCTAGTTTCTGAGGAATCACACCACGATGATAATTAATATTATCAACAGATTCCTCCTTTTCCACTACCACCTGAACAACCATCTCTGATTTTTTTAGGTCAAAAATAGGTCTTTATAGATATTGGAAAATTTTCAATGTCATAATTCAGATATAAATAATAAACTCAGTAAGTTGTATTAAATCCATTCCTATCAGTTTCAAATATAGTGCTATATCATCAGTCTTACATTCAACCTCCATCATTTGACCATATTCCAATTTTGTTTCCTCAAGCAACATGTCCAGAAATAAAAACTAAAATCATTTTAGTACATCTTTATTGTTGCCACTTATGTTCAGATATGAGCTGTCTTCTAAAGCACTGTCAAAACAAGGTGTAAAATTTGAGATCTTGAGAACTTTAAATTCATATTATCTTTAACTTTCTCTCAAACTCCATCACTTGACATACAGAGACATTGTACTTTCGTTCACTCATTTGTCTGTATTGCCAAAACCTTGTTTCTAAATGATCTGTTTAAAATGTTCCAAAAAGAACATAAGTTAACAAATATTCAGCCAGATGTATTAATGTTTATGTTGTAGTGATACATGGAATTTAGAAGTAAACTTATTACTCCTGTCAACTTTTTAACATGAGGTGTTCATTCATAAGGCTGCCTATGTTCTGAAATCTTCAGATCATTCAACTCATGTAAGAAGTGAAGATTAATAAGCTTAATTTTATACACTGTCTCCTTGTTGCTTGCCCCTTGGGAATTCTTTTACAATTTTCCACCATCTTAAGATAGTTTCTACAAAGATTTTAATTGGTACCTCTCATCACCAAAACCAGTTTTATTTTTAGATAACTCTACTTTTAATGCAGTAATGTTATTCTCATCATATAGCTCGGAGACATACAATAAATTTTGTTATTACAAATTTGATGGATAAAGTAATTTTTCTTGACAGATTGGTAGCTAATTTTATAGTTAAATGCACTTCCTTTTAAGCTAGACTTTTCAACTGCAGAATACTTGCTTTGCAAATTTTACTTTCTGACAGGGATGGTACAGAAAAAATGTCTGGTTGGTTAATCTTTTGTTTAACCAGTTGTTGTGGATGGGTTTCAGCAAATGACCCGAATCACAGAGGATAAAATTTTCTTCTTCGCTACAACAAAGATTGATGATGATATGTTCAACTTGGCTGCCTGATAACATCTCAAACATGTTTCTATTTATCCTAGCATTATCACATATTAATGATAAAACTGTGTAGCCAGTATATAACTTTAATACTTTCAATGCAATGGAAACATTATCATTATATGCTTATTTTTGTAAAACATAGGAGTGATCATAACTGTTTACATTGTAGTTGCTGCTTCAGACTGGATATTTTCTGACACTCCAACTTTGACATTTTTGATTCTGTAAATATTTAGTTATCTTTAATGGGATTGGTTTCAAACTATTAAATGGATGGTTGCAGTAAAAGAAGCTTCAATGTTCGAGTTATTATTATTGTTATTATTCGAGTATTATTTTATAAGTAAATTTTTCAGAAATTGTTTTGCCAGTTTGGTACATTGAAAACAAAATCTTCACCTATAAATAAACTTTAAAATATTTTCATTAGAAGAAACAATAATTAAAACTTATTAGAATCTTTCCTAGCCTAACTTATTAATTCAACAAAAAAAATACCACTGACTACACTAACCGTATAGTATTGATGTCCTACAGTTATTTTTATTGTCAAGTTTCAATAACTTTGAAATCTATGGCATTGACTACTGATTTTCCTAATACTAGAGGCTGGTGGGAAGTAGTGCCAAGTAAAAGTATTATTAGCATGTAGTACTTCAGTACTTATATTCAGATTTCAACAGCATAATACACAAATAGAATTATACTATAACATTTTATTTGAAAGAATCAGGATGTCTCACAATCACAATTTGAAAAGATATTTAAAGGTATTAGGATGGTGAGTGGTATTCCATAACTTGTAGACTTATGTTGAGGTGTTAGAGTGTATTGTAGGGTTACAGAATGGGCACGTTGGGCGGCCTTTTCTACTAAAAACTTGGGGTAGGAGCGACTGATAAAAGAATCTTTCATATCTTTAGATCTGGACTCGTAAATGATTTATTCACTGCAGAGTCTTCGCAGTCTTAGGAATGGGGAATATGGAAGAGACTGAAATGTATGACGTGGATGGGGAGAGTCGTAGCGGAGGTAAGAATGGGTACCAGTAGGTTTGTAATGTACTGAAGTCGATAAATGACGATGTTCGGTAGAGACGAGAATGTCTAATGGGGAGAGTCGTAGCGGAGGTAAGAATGGGTACCAGTAGGTTTGTAATGTAATGAAGTCGATAAATGACGATGTTCAGTAGAGACGAGAATGTCTAAGAATTGTAAGTTATTGAAGAAAACTGTCCATTTGAAGGTAAGCGTTGGATGGAAGGAGGAAACAAGGTGTAAAAAAATATTTAAGTTGCCCAAGGGTGTGCATGTTGCGCGTGCTATGTCATCAATATAATGTTTGTAAAGAGTAGGAAGTGCTCCTTGAAAATCTGATTCTCTATGTAACTAACAAACAATGAAGTGTAAGAAGAACCGATTTTAGTACCTATAACAACACCTTTTGTTTGTTAGTAAAATAAGGATTAAAGGAGAATTCGTTCATGGTTAATACAAATTCGGCAAGACGAAGGAGAATACATGTGTGTGGGGGGGGGGGGTATTAGTGAAGAACGCAGATCCAAGTAATGTTTGACGGCTTTTATACCATCGTTATGGGGAATTGATGTGTAGAATATTTGTATGTCCATATTTTTCAAAGGGATACAACAATGAAAGGTATGTGAACTTAATAGGAGTGAAGAACGACTGTGAAAAGGAAAGAATATAAAGTGGATGAGTAAAGTGAACGGGCTAGAGAAGAAAAATAGTGCGTACCTTGAACAAAAAAAAGTTGTGCAAATAAATTTTCAGTGTAAATAAAGTGTAGGGCGGGGAAATGGAAAGGATGGAGTTAAAGAAAAGAGAAATCTGGTTGTGACACACACACCTGTATCTTGTTTCCATGCGGTAATGAGTATATACTGGTGATTATATTTGACAATTACTGGTATTATATATTTCATTAAGATGTTGACCTCGTTTGAAATAATGTTGCATTTACCCTCTTAGGCCCCCCAGCGCAACAGCGGTATGTCTGCGGACTTACAACGCTAGAAACCGTGATTCGATACCCGTGGTGGGCAGAGCACAGATAGCCCAAACAAACAATTACCCTCTTAGTACCTCAAATAGTTGTTGACAAAAATATACTGTTGTTAACTAGAATGGTGTTTTTTTTTATGTGATAAACAATGTTTTATATGTGTCTGAAAAAAGATTGCTTTATGTAACTTGTTAGCGAATAAGGTACATGAAACTGTGGAATGTATTTCAAGTGCGATTTGTCTTAAGTAAGTTGCTTTGATTTGTCATATTCATTAAACCTTATTTTGTTTGGTGTTTATTATTAGTAACGCTCGACCTACAGTATGTGATTTCATTTGAAAGTCACAACCTTTTAGTAGAACAAATTTAGTATTCTCAGATTGCCATGATTTCCATCAGAGTGTCCTGTAGAAACCAAAACAAAAAACAGGAGGATTCGTCGGATACTGTATTACAGAGCGGTACCTCATTTAGCCTGCCTTTGATTGAATCTGAAGAAAGAAAGACTGGCACGGATTTGCAAACATCAACAAACCTTATTACATTACAATCAAAGTAAAGTTAAAACAACATTTTGAAAAGTTCTTGTGTGTGGTCGACTGTAATCTCTCACCAATCTAATTTTGGTTAATTAATGCTAATTAAAAGATGTGATAAACAATCTATATCACATTATGATATCTAAATCTCTGTGAAACATTATCACGAATCTCAACTAGTCTAGTACTCTGGCAAACCTCACAGAGTTTGAATAAATCTATGCAATCTCTAAAAGTATATCTTAAATTACAACATGGTAACATCAATAGTTCTTTCACGGTGAACACGTGCCATCCACATCATTGGAGCCCACTCCTATGTCAACAAAATGTGTTACGCCCTATAGATATCACATGGTTTGCTGCCAGAGCAGACCATTGTTTCTGTCTAAGATTTTTCATCCTGTATCAATCTCCCCTATTGGAGAACGCGAGTGACTCATCCAGTCTTGTGAATAACAAATACCAGAGAAATGTATGGAACAGGAAGGTACCATATGTTTGTTGTCACCTTAGTTAGTATTCAAAGTTTTAATATACTTTTGTTGCTTTTATTTTAGAACATTGGTTAGGGGAGAGCTACTAACTATTCCTCACCTGCAAGTTGTTCATGGGACTGGATGACTCGCCAAACACATCGCAATTTTTCTTCATAATAAATTATTACTGTAGTATAAGATACGTTAAACGTAGTGACAGTGATCATTTCTTGGGGTAAACAGGGCATTGTATTAGGACCTTAATATTTCCTTTGTTGACTGGAAAATGGCTCTAAATCACACCTTTTGTGATGAGATTTTCTTGGATACAGGTATAGTTAATCTTTAGGTAGGTCTTCAGTAGACTGATTTTGATTATATTTTTGACAGTATACTTTTAGCGTAGAATGATTATCTTAACATTTTATTTAGTCTGTTTTTATTTTTGCTTGTATTCACTTTTTAGTTTTCAGCTTAACTACAAGACTGAATTGTTGATAATTTTTTGTTTTAAATCAGTTGGTTCCTTTGTGTTTGACATTTAGTTGGAGATATAGATAAAGCGTCGATACTCCAAGGTACAGTTTTTAGAGTGGTTAACTTAATGTAGATTTGTTTCTGTTTAAAGTTTAACTGAATATCAACATTTTGTTCAACTTTTTTATTATTTTTTAGTTAATTATATACACCTGGAAAAAA